AAGTAGCCTACTCCACGAAAATCATTGACTGCATTGAAGTGCAAGATGCAAGCTATACGGCATGTAATATTTTACTATGTTTAGTTTATTTTAAAAAGTATGTTAAAATGCAGATTGATTTATAAGCTGAACAACTCATTGGAACGTCATTGTTCTCTTTCTAAAAGCCAATCTCTGCCAACAGAGTTAACCTGAAATAACACATTCATAGTTTCATTTGGCTCATGAAGCAAATACACCAAAGTAATCATCAATTAATGCTGGTTCTAATGTAAACACACTTTATTGGCAACATTGTTCAGTACCAAGAATAAATAAACCTATTTAGAGGAATGTACATTTTTATTTTTCATTTAACATTTATGCAGCCAAGGGCAGACATTTGCTTTCATTTATTCCATCATTAGGATCATAAACAGCATAAAGCATGTTTTCCTTTTCAAAATGATTTTCAATGAATTAATGATCCTGATTTTCCACAATCAAACCCAAATGTGATTGACAGAGCTGATGTAGTGTCTAGCACAAACACATTCCCTCATAATTCTTTATAAAACTAAGTGCGTAATGTAGAAGTGCATGCGTTAGTTTACATGTGCAACCGTGCCTGTGTGTGTTCCCGCTCCTATATACGTATGTGATGTTTAACATCCGTGAATGAGTTCCAGGTGTGTGTATGTGTGGTTTGTGACACAGCCCACCTTGGTGCAGTGGTGATGTGCTTCATCTTGAGAGCCAGGCTGTTTTTGCCTTGTTTCTCCAGCGTATGTAAACAGGCAGTGTCAGGTCTCTGGTAATGACTGACCTCACCGTAGCTAAAACGCAGATTGCTTTTCCTCTCTTGATGGTCCCCTCACTGAACACATGCCAACTGCAGCCCTGCTTTACAAAAAATGGCCCAGCATGCAAAATCCCAGCAGCCACTGGCACCTGAAACCATTGTTTAATGGTGAGTTTTGAAAAATAGCACAGTTGCATGTGGACTTTATTTAAAGAACCTCACAGAGAACTGTAGTGTATGGAAGGCCATTTCCGCCAAAAATAAATCATAATTTTGTCAAATTTTGGTCAAAACAAGTCAAAATTAAGACCATACTTCTGAAATAAAGTTGAAATTATGTCTTAAAAATCCAAAATTATGACATGAAAAGTCAAAGTGGTTTTTATCTTATACTTTAATTATTATGCGTAATTATTATGCATTATTATTGCTATATATATATATACATATATATATATATATATATATATATACATAATTATGTGATTAATAAAGTGAAATTAGAAGATAATTTGTTTTTGTATGTTTTTTGACATCACATTTTGACAAATCGTCATATCGCAATTTTCACTGTTTAATCTTATAATTATGACACAAAAAGTGAAAATTATTAGATTAAAAAGTTGAAATTAAAACATCTAAATTGTGACAAAATGATGATAACTTAGTATTGTTATAATTTCAAACTTTTATGTCATAATTTCGATTTCGTAACCTCATAATTATGAAATAACAAGTGAAAATGATCAGTTGTCATACTGGACTTAGGATGCCACATTATTTTTTATCTCTTAGTATCTCATCATTTCGACTTTTGTCATAATTTGTACTGTTTCATCTCTAAGACATAAACGATTATTAGCGTGTCATAACTTAGTATTTCAAAATAATGACTCAAATTGTTTTGACTTTTTATCTCATAATTGACTTTGTATGTCATCATTTATCTCATAATTCTGACTTTTAATATATTTATTTTTTACTTTCATAATTAGGATTTTTTTTCTTATGCTGCAGAAATAGTCTTATAGTGGCGCTTTTGCCAATGCACATACATCCAACGCACATGGCACCCTTTAGCATCAATATAACGCTTCGGTTATGGGTAGGTTTAGGTCTGGGGTAGGGTTAGGGTTAGACCACTAGGAGGCACTTTCTGGCCTGTATATATTTGCGTCTCATATTGACGCTAAAGGGTGCCATGTGCGTTGGATGTCTACGCATTGTCAAAAACGTCACTATATGACGCCTTGGGATGAGAACGGGCTAGTGTCACTCCATGACCAGAAAGAAAGCGATTGGACTTGTTCCTCTTTTGGCGATCTGTCACTGCTGGCCTTAATTTCTTAGCATGTGTGCTGTGATTAAAGGACCTGTACCCCTATGAACCACACCGATCGCTCCAGCCGTCCCATTCCGGTGAATTCTCCAGCTATGAGGCAAAACCTCCAGTGTCAGAATCCAGCCTGTGTCGACATTTACAGATTACTGTTGCCGCTAATGTATCTGTGCTTGCAGCCACAAGTCAAGTCATAATAATTAAAGACACGCTGCATCTCAAGCGCACATTAATCATGTTTTATATGGACTTTGAAGCTCTAATGGGAAACAGCCACTCATACGACTGCCTCTCCACTTTTATTGTGCTTGGACAAATTGTGGTGAGTGTATGCTGTATGGCCCATTTCTGACTGGCTTTTACAGGAAATGGCAAGAAGAAAAGCAAAAATAAACTGGAGTGAATCTGGGAGACAGTCGGCGGTTATACTGTCTTGATTGACTCGCCAGACATAACAAAGCCTGATCTGTGTGAGTGCGATATGGCACAGCTAGATAATAGTGTCCAAGACATTACAGTTAAATTGAGTTAATCCTTTATCAACAGCTCAAATGAATTTGTTCACTTGGTTCCTTATATCTAAGTAATTATAGGAAAATATTTAAACGTGCGACATGGAGCATGTCAACCATTATATGACAAATTCTGTTTATTGGAAACACTGCCAAACTCTAAAAATTAGTTCCTGAAATGTATAAATGTCGGTTAATTTATAAATAAATAAATGTAAATACATTTAAACATATAGTATTGGTTTTCTCTTTGCTTTACATGGAGTTGAATGAAGGATGTCTTCAAAATACCTCTGCATTCATTATAGGATAGCATCATAATTTTTTTAAGCGTTACACCTCCGTTTTCTGTCACTACGATTCTGTCTACATGAATATCTACAGTCTTGAGTCCACAGATATCTGTAGGTGACTATCATACTGTTTTTGCTGTGCACAAAGAGCAAAGGAGTTACATTATGTCTTGTCCATAAAATGTGATCCTGCTTTTAAATGCAACATTAGTAGAAATCATTCCAATATAGATCAGTGCATTTATCATGTAAGGGAGTAAAGTATATAATAAAAAAAATTGAGCATGTAGTTTCGTCCTCCCTACTCACTCAGCTTATCAACAACACACTGTAAAAAAACGGTTTCATGATTTGTAATCACATTTTTTCTTTTGTCAAATCAACTTAGATAATTTATGTAGTTCAGATAACATAATATTGCAACGCATTCTCACCCCAAGGCGTCACCTTTGACCATGCTTCAATATTTGACGCTTTAGGCGCCCTTTAGCGTCAGTTACATGACGCGATCCTGCTTTTACTTTTACATTTCTACAGTAGGCTGATACCATATTGAAATATATTCAAAATCTATCAAAACAATTTAAAGTAACTGAACACCTACAGGTGTTAGTCAACCAGATGGAACTGGATAAATATTCTGATTGTTCTGATCAAATCTGACTTCTGACCTGTAATACTGCCTGAATCATAATCAGACACTGTTTGTTTGTACTCTTAACAGCTGTGCCAAGTTGAAAGTTGGTTAGTTTTGGGAAAAGTGACTTAAGTATTGAGAAATGTGTCCTGGTGATTGTAAAAAACGGTAAGAGAAGTCTGATTATATAATCTTTTGGTTATAAGTTTCACTTATGAACAAAAACGCAAATGTATTTATCATAGCGCCACCTAGTGTCCGAAGCATATGTGTGGGGGGTTTGTGAGAATGTGGAACCATCCCACCAATTTTGAGATCTCTGTAACTTTTAGATGACTTTTTTTGTCTATTTACTGTTGTTTTTAACAGTGAAAATGCAATTAATAAATAGGCTTTGGATCGACCCCCTACACTGTAAACATATATGCTTTATCTAATCAATAAAATTGTGGCAACAGATTACAAGCAATATTATTAATTAAATTGAACAAATTAGAATTGAGTAATAATTAATCAAGTTATTTCTTAAAAGTTAACCATTTCAAATGAGTAATGTTTTCACCAAAAAATTAACTGAAAATATCGGAATAACAGACAGACGTCAAACTCTTTATTTTAAATTGCCAACATTGACCTAATGTTAGCAAGCAGAATCAATGAATGAGAAAACATTCGTTTTAAAACAAACCTAAAACAAACACTGATCACCACAATGGTGACTTAAATGTATGTTTTTTTGTTTTTTAAAAAGGAATCTTTTTTTTTTTTAGGAATCAAATCAGTTTTCCAAGTGAACATGTTGCCCCCAAAGGGGGGCAAATTTAGTTCCAGACTAATTGGCTAAAAGTAAAAAAGGTTCCATTGTGAAGACCTCAAGCACCATTTGTATGCAGATGCACGTTGGGTTTATATTGTAAGTGTGTGTGACTTGTCCAAAAAGTGTCCAAATACTTATTGAGGCCACTGTATGTGTATGTATACATGAGTAAATGAAAAAAAGGCCTGCAGCCTGCTGAGCAGCGCTCATGTTTATTTGAAAGGCTACTACCGTTGAATAAATCTGCAGTCTGTCTGTCATGGTGAGCTCACGTTCTCAGCGCAGATGTTCACTCAACAGCACACTGAGGAAATGCTGTGACCCTTCTCTGTTTTAATCCTCTTTATCTTTGCTCTCTCAATCCTGCCTCACTCCAATGGCTTGCACAATATTTTGCTGGTAGTCAAAACAGAACTGGATTAGTTTATTATCTTTCAATTAGCTCTGAAACAGGCAATCTGCATGATCTCCCAGCCTTTCTTGTTCTCTGTAGACTTGTGAGGGTCAAAGTTCACATATTCTTCTGCTTTAGACAGACAGATATACATGTACACATGAAGGACTAATGCATTTTTAAAACCATTTTTTTAAAAACAAATCATTACAGTCCCATTTTTTTAGTTGTATACATGGCATCACAGACTTCAGTAAAATAAAGATAGAATTCCTTTATTACAGAAAGATATTATTTACAATAAAATTAAATATTAAACATGTTCAGTACAGTCTAAATTTCAGCTCAAGGCATCTCCTGTTGGATGAGGCAGTATTTATGTTAGCCAGGAGGATTTTTTGGAACAACAGTGCCATCTTGTGTCAGTCTTATTTTAGTATTGATTGAACTAACAGCAAATTCTGCAAATTCTGGTTTGTGAAGATAAACTAGCCTATCATTCAAAGTTTGGGGTCAGTAAGATTTTCCTTTTAAGGAATTTAGCAAGGATGCATTAAAGTTATCAAATGTGACAGTAGACATTTTTAATGTTAAACGATTTCAATGAATGCCGTTCTTTAGAACTTTCTGTTCATCAAAGAATCCTGAAAAAATGCATCACAGTTTGTCGCATATTTTAGTACATTGCTAGCATGAATTAGCGTGTTTCAAGTATTGTAGAAAGTTACTAGCATAAATTAGCATGTTAGTCTATTTTTAGCCAACTGCTAACAAGTTCTTAACACGTTTTAGCACATTACTAGTATGTTTAATAAATTGCTAGCATGAAATATCACGTTGCTAGCATGAATTAGCACATTGCTGGCTGACAGGTTTTTCACAATGCTAACATGTTTAAGCATGTTTAGACAATATAATAAGAAATGGGTTTTTTTTATCACCAAATTGAAGACTGAAGACATAATGTACTGGCTGCTGAAAATTCTGCTTTACCATTAGGCCTACTAGAAATAAATGTAAAAAATAAAAATTCTGAAATGTAGTATTTTAAATTTTATTATTATTTCACAATATTACTGTTTTCTGTATTTCCAATCAACTACCGGTAAATGCTGCCTGACTGAGCATAAACTTCTATTAAAAACATAAAAAAAATCTTACAACCCCAACTTTCTTTCTTTCTTTCTTTTTCTTTCTTTCTTTCTTTCTTTCTTTCTTTCTTTCTTTCTTTCTTTCTTTCTTTCTTTCTTTCTTTCTTTCTTTCTAAAACCTTTCAGTAAACACAAACATAAAGTCAGTGTGCGTAACTGTGTTTGCAATCACTTTAGGGTTGAAAACTGAACAGCTTTACTGTGAGAGGATGAAATGAACAGAATGTAAACATTGGCAGAAATTATTACAAGTTCAATGACACCTGTCAGGTTAAAAATGTTATACCTGAAAAATCAGATATCATTCCATAGCAGCTTTTTAAACATAGATCCTTCATCTTTGACCAATTCCAGCATAAATATAAATATGGACCTTTTCATTAGTTTTATTACATTTGTAAAAAACGATCTAAACGAGTTGATTTTTTCTCTTGTTTCAGTCTCTCTATTCCGTCTACCTCATCTGCCACATATCCAGGAGGGTGCAAGAGATTGTAATAGAGTGCCAGAAGACCCAGTCCGAGTGAATTAGTAATCAATATAAAAAATAGAATGGGCAGGAAGTAGTCAGTCCCTTCAGACTCTGGCTTGAGCAGATACAACAAAATAGGTGCAGCAAGATTTTGACACACACTGACAATATAATACACAGTCATGGGAACTCTGGTGTTCACTCCTTTAATGTTAAAGAAGGTAAAAACCAGGATAACTCCAACAATGGCTCGGTAAAGATGTTCAAGGACTGGTGAAATGCAGAAATCCGTCTTTTCCACAAATGCCCAGGTGGTTCCCACAAGCCATATCAAGGCCATTGCTAGAGTACTGAAGGGGGAAAGCATGATGAAGAGAGTGAGGCAGAGGATTCGAGGGGTTATGGTAAATATTTTGTAGAACAAGTAGACAGCTGTTGGGATTCCACATGGCATCTCATTAATGTGAGTTAGAGAGCGCCGTAAACACCGCCGATAATCCACCGTGGCCCAGGCTATGTTGACGAAAGACACAGCCATGCTAATGTCTAAAAAAAAAGAGATTTTATTTCATTACAAATCAGTCCAACGCATTCTCATCCTAGGGCGTCATATACTGACCACAATGCGTATACATGCAACACGCATGGCACCATTTAGCGTCAATATAACACGCTTCGGTTATGGGTAGGTTTAGGTCTGGTGTAGGGTTAGGGTTAGATCACTAGGAGGCACCTTCTGGCCCATATCTGCATCTCATATTGACGCTAAAGGGTGCCATGTGCGTTGGATGTATATGCATTGTCAAAAGCGTCAGTATATGACGCCTTGGGATGAGAACGGGTCTTTTACACTGATATAGACATACACTCTTGAAAATAAAGAGTGACCCCTTAAAAAAACATTTTTGGTTACACAAAGAACAGTTCTTAAAAGTGTCCTTTTTTTTTTAGTGTAAAGAGCATTTTAATAATCTTATTTTCCATTTCCAATCTTGCATTCCATTCCCTGGAGCCATTTTTGCACTATAAAGAATCTTTTGTGTAATAAAGAATCTTTACATTTGACAAATGTAAAGGTCCTTTCACACCAAAAGTGAAATAAAAAAGCAATGCAAGTTCATTCCTGTACAGTAGAGGGCGCAGCTCAAATAAACCTTTCAGCTGTGCTGTAATTATGGATTGCAGAAAAATGTAAAAAATAAATAAAACAAAAATGTTGTTTATCTAAAGTCATTTGCTTATTGAGTGGGATTTATTTTTAAACGATGGGGAAAAATTAACTTGCATTTTTATTTTTAAAAAAGGAACTAAATTTGCATTTCTTATTACAAAAAGTAATCTGATTACATAACTTGGATTACTTGTAATCTGTTACCCTCAACACTGACTGCGGAAGTGCACTTAATTATTGTATCTGTGCAGGACTTACATTGCAGATTAGATCGATGGTTGTGCTCCAGTATGATATAGACCTGCAGAACGAGTTGAGGAACGCTCTCCAGGAACGTCTCGAACATGCGGAGCATGCTCAGATCCGTAGCGAGGGCGAAAAGGTGTAACTGCTCCACCTCTTGAGTCTTGCCTGAACGCAGGGTTTTAAAACTCTTCTTCAGGAGATGGTAATACCTAAGAGTAAAAGATAAACCAAAAGATTAACTCGATTTGTAAATGTTTGCATCAGCGTAATAAAAACGAATAGAATTTTAACAAGTAAAGAAGCCCATGTGTGGAGATGTTATATGTTCATTTCCTTCCTTTTAGCCCACATATGAATCATCAGTCATCATTTTTCTCACCCCCATATCTTTTCTGAGCTGGTTTCTGTCATGATATATATATATATATATATATATATATATATATATATATATATATATAGTTGTGACTTTTTATCTGACAATTGACTTTTTTCTTGAAATTGCGAGTTAATATCCCGCAATTCTGACTATTTTTCCAGAATTGCGAGATATAAACTCACAAGTGTGTGTTATAATGTCTGAACTATGACATGTAAAAAAGTCAGAATTGTGAAATAATTTTTTTTCCACTTTTTAATTCTGTGCATTCCTTTCCAAAACTGTGTCTTACTTTATGTGAAAAACAAAATTAGGCATTTAAAATCAGTGTTTTTGTCTCAGTATGGTTTTGGACCACATTGACTTTCATTGAATGAACAAAAACAGCTGAAACATTCTTCAAAATATCTTCTAATTAATTAATATTGAGTCACGGGATGAAGTAGCATGCCGTTACCTTGTAAAAATGCCTATCTGCAATACATGTATCCCGATCAGATGGCAAGTGGACAGACCTTTGTCAACAACTTCATCATTTTCCTTATCATCTTTGAACCATGCATAGCTGAATATCTGTATGCAAACAGATCCGACCAGAACAAACAAAAGAGTCAGTGCGGCCCAGGTTGCATGGCCGCCTCTAAAATACTGCACAGATAACACCAGGTCTGATACAATGTCTCCTAAATAAAATAATAATCCAAAAACGGTGCATAGCCATCGAAAAGTGGTAAATCCCCCTCCAGTAGATGTCATGATTGTGATTTGGGGCATTTGATGAACGCTGATGGCAGATTGTGCTTGTTAATGCTGAATATGTAGATAGACATTTGGTTCCTGTCAACGAGAACAGCTGCTTGACTCATTCCCTTCATGTCTTTATCCAAAACTGATAATCTACATGGAATGAGAGAGAGAGAGAACAAACGGTCAAAACATTGTAGAATGTTTTATACCTGAAATACTCCTGTGAATGAATGAACCGGCTTATTGATTCAGTTCTTTAAGTGCTATAATTTCATGTTATCTGAATGTGTTGCTACTATCTATTTATGTTTTGCACTTTGTCCAGTACAAGCCACTATAAACAGTGAATAATGAATGCTAACATTATGTAATGTGTACAAAATGTGCAGCACACTATCAGAACTAGCACATTTGGTTTCAAAAACACTTTAATAATATTCTGACTGAGTTACATCATGTTATCAAAAGTACATTTTCATTGAAGTCCTGAAATGTCATTTTTATGTTCTCAAACTATTTAAAAATGGATTGGTAACACTTTACATAAGGTTTAATTCGTCAACATTATTTCACTGCATTAGTTAGCATAAACTTACTCTGAGCATAGCCATTGATTTCCTGAGTCAATAGCTACCGTCTGTCATGGTTACCAACATTCTTTTGTGTTCAACAAATGAAAGAAACTCATACAGGTTTGGAACAACTTGAGGGTGAGTAAATGATGACAGTATTTTCATTTTTTGGTGAACTATCTCTTTAACTAATGTATTTACCTAATGTTAAAAAATAAACCTTATTGTTAAGTGTCACCATTAGACTTTTATGTTTATGCTTTTCTTATTCTGTTTTATCATGCAAAGTACTTTCATTTTCAAAGCGTTTCCATTGTCTGTAAAATGCTATAAAAAACAGGCTTGTCTTGCCTGTCACATTTACCTAATAAATACATATTAAATGCTGAAATTTACTATTCTTAAGAAAACATCCTTAAAGTACATAAATCAAGTACTTACTGTTAACATGTTGTGTTTTGAAACAACATTTGACGTATAAATCAGGAAAAAATATATTTGCTAAGCCTTCTTATACTTCTCAATAGCTATCAGTTCCAATTGTAAGTCCCATTCAAAACTTACCAGAGTTTCCATTCTTCGACGTGCTCCGTTGCAGTGACGACGAGTCTCTGCTTTCTTGATACTGTATCATTTCTCATAATTCAGATGACGGTTTGTAAACCACACCCATCTGAGCTACAGTTACTGCGTGATAATACACACCAAATACGTCTACATTGCTGGTGGACCAATAAGTTAGCACAGCAATTATTTATTCCCTGACACTTTGAAAACAGAACCAAAAGAAGAAATGTCTGCCATTCCTACAATTATACTCTCAGTCTCAGCCTTTCAACCAGGAAATAACTGTGCATTCAGGTCATAGTTTCTGATCTGAAACTAGCAATTGACTACCATCTAACCACATCTTGTCAAAGTGCTGCTCATGTGGGTTTGGCCATTGTCAAAAATGAAACGCAGGAAATGCCTGCTTTGGTATGCTGCTTTACATGTTTTACAGTAAGGAACAGACTTCCAAGTAACTGTAATTCATGTTGCAAAGGCCTAAGTTATTTCATACCCTTATTAAAAGCAGGTTTTCACCATTTGTACACATTGAACCTACTGAACCCATCCACAACTAAGAACAGATATTTAAATACAGGAATATATTACATAGCCTAATACATACATTTTATATTGGACCCTTTTCACATTTCGAGGGTTCTTGAGGCAGAAGAGGGTTCTCGTTTTCTTATATATATGAAGAGTTCAGATGCAAAAGCCTCTAAATGCCATTTGAAATTTTCTTCTAAAATGATCATTTTTATCAAGCTTGTATATTTAAGTTCAGTAATTGAAATTACTGAACTTAAATATACAAGCTTGATAAAAATGATCATTTTAGAAGAAAATTTCAAATGGCACTTAGAGGCTTTTGCATCTGAACTCTTCATATATATATATATACAGTATATATATATATATATATATATATATATACATACATATACATACACACTTACCTACAGGATTATTAGGAACTATACAATGTGTTTGTTTGACCCCCTTTCACCTTCAGAACTGCCTTAATTCTACGTGGCATTGATTCATCAAGGTGCTGAAAGCATTCTTTAGAAATGTTGGCCCATATTGATAGGATAGCATCTTGCAGTTGATGGAGATTTGTGGGATGCACATCCAGGGCATGAAGCTCTGGTGACTGTGGGGGCCATTTTATTACAGTAAACTCAAGAAACCAATTTGAAATGATTCGAGCTTTGTGACATGGTGCATTATCCTGCTGGAAGTAGCCATCAGAGGATGGGTACATGGTGGCCATAAAGGATGGACATCATGGACATGGTCAGAAACAATGCTCAGGTAGGCAGGGGCCTAAAGTGTGCCAAGAAAACATCCCCCACACCATTACACCACCACCATCAGCCTGCACAGTGGTAACAAGGCATGATGGATCCATGTTCTCATTCTGTTTACGCCAAATTCTGATTCTACCATCTGAATGTCTCAACAGAAATCGAGACTCATCAGACCAGGCAACATTTTTCCAGTGTTCAACTGTCAAGTGGTATGAGTGGTACCCGGTGGGGTCTTCTGCTGTTGTAGCTTATCCACCTCAAGGTTGTGCGTGTTGTGGCTTCACAAATGCTTTGCTGCATACCCCGATTGTAACGAGTGGTTATTTCAGTCAAAGTTGCTCTTCCATCAGCTTGAATCAGTCCGCCCATTCTCCTCTGACCTCAACAAGCATCAACAAGGCATTTTCGCCCACATGACTGCCACATACTGGATGCTTTTCCCTTTTCACGCCATTCTTTGTAAACCCTAGAAATGGTTGTGCATGAAAATCCCAGTAACTGAGCAGATTGTGAAATACTCTGACCGGCCCGTCTGGCACCAACAACCATGCCATGCTCAAAATGGCTTATATTACCTTTCTTTCCCATTCTGACATTCAGTTTTGAGTTAAGGAGATTATCTTGACCAGGACCACACCCCTAAATGCATTGCAGCAACTGCCATGTGATTGGTTGATTAGATAATTGCATTAATGAGAAATTGAACAGGTGTTCCTAATAATTCTTTAGGTAAGTGTATATACCACTATTTATTTGTATTCATTGTATTCACTAGAAAGGGTTCCCTGCTCCTCTCTAACCACTATAGGCCCTTGGCCTGAGAAAGAATCAAACTTGCCCTTTAATCCAGCCCAGCAGAAGGCGCTACTGCAACTTCTGTCATTGTATAAAGTGTCTAAAATTGAAAAAGAGGATAGAAGAAGAAAGACAGAAGTAGGCGTTAAGACTGACGTGCCTGCCAGATAACAATAGTGAAGACGTGTTCCTCACTCACACACACCAAAAGTTCTCTCAACATCCACCAAGATGGGAATCCGAAAAAAGAATAACAAGAACCCACCGGTGCTCAGCCACGAGTTTGTGATCCAGAACCATGCGGATATTGTGTCTTGTGTTGCTATGGTGTTTCTGCTGGGTCTAATGTTTGAGGTGAGAATCTACTTTTATTTCATTCATTCAATGTTACAGAATTAACATTGACAAAGATGACAAATCAACCTGATCAGTGTTTCTATAAGAAACCTATAGCGGATCTTTCTTGTTCTGTCACAGTCTGAACAGATCCTTTCACTTCCTTTAACTGCAAATGAAACGGTTGACGTTGCCTTTTGGTTTTAACTTTAATGTGCAGAATTTGTACGTTCTTTTGCATTTCTGATTCATATAAATGAATCTTATACCGCAGGGTTTAGCCTATTCTCACGCTCATGTGCTAACGTACTGCCTTACTCCTTAATAGTTGGGAATTTGATTCAAAGAAACATGATGCACGAGAGAGAGAGAGAGAGGGAGAGACCGAGATATGAATCGCCTATGAAACGATTTAAGGAACTTTAAAACCCGCGAGATGAAAAGCACGCGCAAATGTGTTACATTTAAAGAATTATTAACCGGAATGTTTCAGACTTGATTTGTAAAAATGATTACGTAACATTGTGGCTGCACTGATACTTTTACGCGCAAATAAAGTGTTACGTGGCAATCGGAGAATGACTGAGCGCTGTCATCGGTGCACAGCAGCTGGAGGGCCACGATTTGCGATACCCAAATACTTTTACTGAGAGCAACTTAGTGATTTTACACTATCAGCCCTCATTTAGGAATGCTAGTTTGCAAAACCGTTAGATTTGGACGATCGTTTTCTGAATATCAGCGCCAGGACTTGTGCATCATGGGAAATGAAGTTTACAGCGCTGAAACGGATTTGGTGCTCTTAATGGGAATTTCTAAACGGATGTATCTTGAGTAATTTATATCTTGAATTATATGTGCATGTATGTACTTAAAGGAACAAGAGGTTGCCCAACAATTATTTCTGTGACTGGCTTACCCTCATGTTGCGTAAAGGGTTAGTTTTACAAACAAAAAAAATTGCAAACATTTTTACTCGGCCTCAACTGTTGTTCCAAACCTGTAAGATTTTATTTCTTCTGCTGAACACAAAATAAGTTATTTTGAATAATGTTCAAAATAATTCCCAGACAGCCATTGACTTTCAATGACTAACGTTGTCAACTGGTTACAATCATATTCAAAACACACCCTTTGTGTTCAGCAACTCATACAAGTTTGGAACAACTTGAGGGTGAGTAATTTCATTTTTGTGTGAACTATTCTTTTTAAATCTGCATGGCCTATTTTCTGTAACACTATTCACTTGTGTTGTAAACTTTATTTTCCATAAAAAATATGTATAGTGAAAGAGACTGGCTGACAGGTGTCAGGTCTATAATGACCGGTGTCTCATTTTAGAGTGAAATATTCATTCATTTGTGTATTGACTGCCCTTTTATGTTTCTTTCTATGTAGATTACATCAAAGGTAGCAGTTTTGTTCATAACTGTGCAATACAATGTTACAATTCCAGCAAATGGTAAGTATGTGGTAAATAACCTGTTTGCATAGCTTGAATATAAATCCTTTTTTGTTTATTTATTGTTTTCTGTCAAATTTGTTTATGTGTGCTATTTCTGTTATAATAATTAAAACACATCAAGGTTAAACAGAATAGTTTGTTACAACAAGTTGTTGTCTAGTAATGAGCTGATGTTACACTTGCTGTGGCTGTTCATAAGTTCGATTAAAAAAAAAAAAATTACATGTGTTTGCTTTATCATGATTCTCTCCTTATATTTTGCAAGATTATTGCTCAGTTCCAAAGGATCAAACAATTATTTGTAAAATCAACTGCATTGGCTCTGTTGTTCATTATCTTTCTTTTTGAGATTAAACAAACAAATCAGATATCAGTTGTCTATACTTGATTAAATCAAAAAGCTAGCCATACTGAGTGTGCATGCATGCTAATGCTTATGTTTTGTTTGTATTGTGGATTTTAGGGGGTCCAGAGGAAACACCCGTGAATTACTTCCATTATGGTCTGAAAGATGTGGCCACAGTCTTCTTCTACATGTTAGTGGCCATTATCATGCACGCCATTATTCAGGAATATGTGCTGGACGTAAGTATCCCGATGTGAATAAATATGCTTACTGTGGCTGAAATGTTAATAGCATTTGTGCATAAATGTGAAAGGGTTAGTTCACCCAAAAAGGAAAATTATGTCATTAATGACTCGCCCTCATATCGTTCCATGCCTCTGTTAATCTTCGGCACAGTTTAAGATATTTTAGATTTAGTCCGAGAGCTTTCTTTCCCTCCATTGAAATGTACACGGTATACTGTCCTTGTCCAGAAAGGAAATAAAAACATCATCAAAGTAGTCAAAGTGACATCAGTGGGTTAGTTAGAATGTTTTGAAGCATCGGAAATACATTTTGGTCCAAAAATAAATACTTAATTCAGACTTAATTCAGCATTGTATTCTCTTCCGGTTCTGTTGTCGAGCCGCGTTCAGTGACGCTGCTAACGTGTTATCAGTGCGCCCAAGCTTTGTTTACAGTCTGAGGGAGACCCACACTGTAAACAAAACAGTCTTCGCAAACATGTCTTAGGATTTCAACACATAAGAATTTCGGAAGACTTGCATTTTTTTGCCCAGCCAGATTTATTTGAACCCGAATAAACAGACCCACCAGATAATACGTCTTCAGCGTCACTGTGGACTCGTGAACACGGTTTGACAACAGAACCAGAAGACAATAAAATGCTGAATAAAGTATTAGTTTTTGTTATTTTTGGACCAAAATGTATTTCCGATGCTCCAAAAAATCCTAACTAACCCTCTGATGTCACAAGAACTACTTTAATGTATTTATTTCCTTTCTGGACAAGGACGGTATACCGTGTATACATTTTCAATGGAGGGACAGAAAGCTAAAATATCTTAAACCGTTCCGAAGATGAACGGGGGTCTTGCTTGACGAGTCATTAATAACATAATTTTCAGTTTTGGGTGAACTAACCTTAATAGTGTTTTGGTGCAACACTAATTAATACTAATAAATGTTTTGATTTATGCCATTTACGTGAATCCATGACTGTTCAGAAAATCAACAGAAAGATGCACTTCTCCAAAACCAAGCATAGCAAGTTCAATGAGTCGGGGCAGCTGAGTGCATTCTACCTCTTCTCCTGCGTGTGGGGAGCCAGCATTCTAGTCTCTGTAAGAGCTTCACTACTCTGTTTCATAGAAATAGGAGCTTATGTGCAGGTTGGTGTTTATAGCCGTGTCTGAAGTGTTCATTTGACTTATTCTGCTTAATCTGAAGGAGAATCTCCTGTCCAATCCCGTCAGCCTGTGGGACGGCTACCCGCACACTCTTATGCCGTAAGTACAGCTGTCTGTGCTTCTGTGAAATGCAGACTATTTTTAAGGTTAGTCACCCATCAATAACAAATTCTGCCATACCCTTATGTTGTTCCAAACCCATAAAACTTCAGAACGCAAATTAAGATATTTAATGAAATCAAAGGATTTTTGGTCACTTCATTGAAAGTCTATTCACCCAAAAATGACTCCTCAACTTTCATAAATCGATTGTAAAATAAATCATATGAATCAAGCAGTTTAATGGAAGTCTTCTGAAGAGACACAATCAGTTTTTTATTTACATGTGAATGTACATTGAAAACTCAATTTTGGTAATTGGAAGCTCAAGCGTGCTTTCTTGACGCACAGGAACCAATGAGGTTCATTCTCGTGTTTTACGAAGCACATTTGAGCTTTCGCCATAGCCAATGAGGTTTGTTCTCATGGGTCAAGCATGTACGGTTGAGCGATCTCTTCAGAAGACTTGGATTAAACCGCTCGATTCATATCATTTTATGAATGTTTTGAACGGTCAGAGTTTTGAGGAATAGCCTTGCAGTGGAGGAACAGACATTTTTCAGATCTCATTACAATTGGTTTGGATCGACATAAGTAATTAATGACTGAATTTACATTTTTGGGTGAACTATCCCTTTAAAAGCTAAGCGTGTTTAAATATGAAGAAATGAAAAATGCTAATTAATGGTGGGAAAGTGATGGTTGTTTTTGAAGTGGGCCATAAAATGAAGGAGGTTCATATTCCACGCTCTATAAGATGCATCTTCTTTTGTAAACTGATCTGCTGAGCTGGTTCGCACCGAGAAGACGGTTCAAAAGCTGTCTCAACGCTCCTGATCAAATTATCTTGCATTAGTCTACCTCTAATTCTCTCTCCTGATTTTTGTAGAACTACTGTATGAAACGCACAGCTAGCAAACGCAATTACCATTGACATTTGATTTCCACGAGTCGTGGAGATGCTGAAGAAGTTCCTTGTCTTGTTTTAGGTTCCAGCTGAAGTTCTACTACATCTGTCAGCTCGGCTACTGGCTTCATGCAATCCCCGAGCTCTACTTCCAGAAAGCCAAGAAAGTAAGTAAGCAAGCAAAGTCAATGTAGTGTTTCCAGTGTTGAGGATGCACTGAAACCTTATTCATGCATCCTGTTATTGTGACGGGACCAGTTTCCTTCTCCAGAGGTTCCTTTGTTTACCAAACTTTTACTTTACGGAAATTGACGTGGCATGACTATGTTGTCTTGTTTTATTTTTCAGGAAGACATTCCTCGCCAGCTTGTTTATATAAGTCTTTACTTGGTCCAAATTGCAGGAGCCTACATTCTGAAGTAAGCAATTCATTTTTCATGTTTATTAATTATAAACAGTTGTCAGGGCACATTTTGGTCTACAACATAAATTGCACACGTTCACGGTGTAAACATTTTCATTGAGGACTAGAGTAATGGCTGCTGAAAATGTAGCTTTACATCACAAAGAATAAATTATCATTTAAAAAAATATCATTTTTAAAATCAAAAGCAGTTATTTTCAATTGTTATAGCATTTTACAATATTATAAGGTTCTTTGTTCTTGCTTAAATAAATACAGCCCCGATGAACTTAAGAGACTTCTGTTTAACATCAAATATTTTGATTGGCTCTTATTGCGCCTGGTTAGGACATGGTGTAAAGTTGACAAGACTGTCATTACCAAAACCATGCTGAGTGTCAATAATTACACTTTTCAAAGACTAATAATGTAGTAGTTTCACTCATGTTTAAAGCATTTATGTATTTCCAGTCTGAACCGGTTGGGCCTGGTGTTGCTGGTTTTGCATTACTTTGTCGAGTTCCTCTTCCATGTTTCCCGACTCATTTACTTCAGCAATGAGGAAAGGCAGACCGGGTGAGTGTCATTCATTTGACACAGCAAGTCCAGCTAATTGACACTTTAAATGATTTTTACTATGCAGACATGAAATTACAAATGAATATCAGCACGATTCTGCGTTTGCAAGGATGTTTGACCTTTGAAGCCTTTTGTGTATGTTAACAGGTTTTCAGTGTGGGCTGTTCTGTTTGTGCTGGGCCGCTTGTTGACTCTTTCCCTGTCTGTTCTTACTGTGGGCTTTGGGCTGGCCGGAGCAGAGAAACAGGGTCTGAACATCGCTGAGGGAAGCTTTAATGTCCTGTTTGTTCGGTAAGCAGAGTGATCTTCATCTTGAGTCACGAGGACGGCTGAAGTATACTTTGGGGTTTACACATCCTCACTGGAATGAATAGATTAATCATGCAAATGTTTTGAAGCATTTTGGATTGCTCTTTAGCAACTGCGGTTTGGATTTTTTAATTTTTTTTTTTTCAAGAAGCAATTTTTAGCACCTTATTAAAAGCCAAGTGCCTTACATGCGACATGGTTGAATTTATGTAGAGCTTAGAAGTAGAAAATTCTAGGAATTCAAATGGTTTGTACTAACTGCACAGGTTATGTTGTATTTACATATTTTTTTAAAGGGATAATTCACTCAAAAATGAATTTACTCACCCTGAAGTCAGGTGTATATGACATTCTTCTTTCAGACGAATAGAATTGGAGTTATATAAAAAATAACCTGGCTCTTCCAAGCTATATAATGGGAGTCAATGGGTATATTTTTTTGGAAGTCCATCAAAGCGCATCTATTCATGATAAAAGTGCTCAACACTGCTCCGCTGGGTTAATAAACGCCTTCTGAAGTGAAACGACGCGTTCGTGTATAAAAAAATATAGATAATTAAAACTTTATTGACTAAAGTAACTAGCTTCCGGCAGACGGCGGTACACACCGATTTACGGCTAAAGACTAACTCTTGAACTTTGCGCACCACGTAATGACGAACGCGGTTGCCCAGCCCTGTTTGTTTGAACCGCGTGAGGCGTCAAAGCTTGCGCTACTCCTACATCCTACATCAAGGGTTAGTCTTTTGGCTGTAAGTTGACTTGCATATGGCCGTCTGCCAGAAGCTATTTATTTCAGTTGATAAAGTTTTAATTATGGATATTTTTCTTACACGAATGCATCGCTACACTTCAGCCGTTTATTGACCCGCCAGAGCCGTGTCGAGCACTTTGAATATATAATATATCCATCAAAATGCATCCATTCATAATAAATCTTATTAAAATTGGAAGAGCCAGGACTTTTTTTTTTTTTACTATAACTGTGATTGTATTAGTCTGAAAGAAAAATGTCATACCCCTAGGATGGCTTCAAGTTGAGTAAATCATGGGGTAATTTTAATTTTGGGTGAACTATCCCTTTAAATCTGATTTGGAGAGTAAGAGATGTCAACATAGTAATTTGGGCCAAAAGCAAAACTTGGCGTCATATATAAAAATGTGCTAGTGTCCCAAATTTTCCATCATAACATGAATATGTAATCGCATTGTAAGCTCTTCTACTGGAAGTGGACGTTTTGGATGGACGTGATTTAGTTAAACACCAGATGATGGAAAGGTAATGATGACCTTTTGCTTGTATTATTGTTGGATTTGTAATGGCTCTGTTTCTCTTAGGGTGACTGTCCTGGCTGCAATATGCACCACTCAGGCTTTTATGATGTGGAAATTTATCAACTTCCAGCTGCGACGATGGAGAGAACATGCACAGACTCAGACCTTAAAAAAGAAACCATCGACTTCTAAGAGCAAATCAAAGAAAGGTCAGTATTGGCCACTTGAGATTGAGATCTGATTCTTCTGTTCCAATTGTGGTTGGGCGATATGACCAATGAAGTTATTTTTATGGTCACTTTATTTTACTAATATTCAACTGACATGCATCTAGTTTTTCTCCCAACTGTTTTTTCACTTAAAGGGATAGTTCACTTTTCAAAAATGGGAACCAAACTGTTCAAGGTCCAAAAGACAGTTTCAGTGCAAACTGTTCAAAGGGCTTTAAACGAGACGATGAATAAGGGTCTTATCAAGCGAAACGATCGCTCATTTAAAAAATGTTAACAAAGTTAATTGTTAAGGTGTGTCCATCAGCGTGAGTATTGTGTTGAGTTCTTAAAGGGATAGTTCACACATTAATGATCGCAATTTAATAATAATTCATTTAATTAATAATCACCCTCATGTCGTTTCAAACCTGTAAGACTTTCTTTCATCTTTGGAATCCAAATGAAGATTTTTTTTTTTTTTTTTTTTTTGATGAATTCAGAGACCTAGACCTAGTTGTCTCCATGGACAACTCAATTGAAACTTTAAAGATTCAGAAAGTTCATAAAGAGATCGTAAAACTAATCCATATGAATTGAGTGGTTTAGTCCAGCATTTCTGGAGAAACGATTACTTTATATGATGAACAGATTGAATTCAGGCTTTTATTCACCTAAAAATTCATCAACTCACACATCAGTTGTGGTAAACGGAAGCTAAAGCATGTTTACTTGACGTGCGAGAACCAATAGCCGCGTTTCCACTGCCGGGCCAGGGCCGGGCCGTGCTAGTGCGTGCCAGGGCCAGTCGCGTTTCCACTGTCACTTCCGGGGCTTGATCGGGGCTTCCTCAGGGCCAACGGCCAGGATTTCTGGCCCGTCGAATACCTTGGGCCAGAGGGGGCCAGCTCGGGCTAGAGGCGTGCTCAAGGTAAAAGGCGGAGTTTATCGGTGTTATGGAACGTTATGATCTGAAGCAAGATGCACATAGGGGTGTCCATGTTTAACCGATTAACCGTTTAAAATTGCATAACATTTTAATTTGAACTGTAGGCCTATGCCAAATGCTGCGCAACAATATATAGGCTATATATAGCTACATATCGACGAATTTTCAGATATTTGTTTGATTTTTTTGCCCCTTAAACATTTAAAATATTTGACAAATTAATATGAAAAAAATATATATTTTACTGGTTTTCTGAGGCCAAATTAGAACCTGGAAATGATATTTTCCCCGCAGTGCTGAATGAGAAGAGCCGTACAGAAAGGGGATTTATGGGTGATTTATAGGCTATAATAAATGTGTCTGATAATAAAATAATATAAAATAACGAGGCATTAATTGTTTATTAATAAACTATTGTTTTCTAAATGATTTTCGGCTAAAAAAATATCTCCATCTCCGGATGCACATTTAGAGAGAAATTAAGCTACATAAACATAGAAGATATTGGCTTTCGATTCGAATTTGTTCTTTTTAAATTGGACATTTAAAGCTTTAATCTACAAAGGATATAACCCCTGTAGACTAAAGCTTTAAATGTCCAATTTAAAACGAACAAATTCGAATGCGGTGGCTGTTTCAGGTCTCGCGCTTCAGTTCACGGAGATCATGAAGCGCGTCTTGATTAATTGTTAAAGCACAACGTTTTCTTGTTATAAATAAATTTATTTGCGAATAATGTATTATTATTTTCTGTATGACCAGAAATTAAAGAGTATTTTAAGTTGTTTCCACTGAAAGAAATGCAATGAAACTGTTCACATGGGCGTCTCGCAGCCATCAGTGCGTGCTCCACACACACTGGATATGCGCTGATATTTGTCAAAAATATTGTGTTTATTTGTGCTCTGTTCCTTTTTTGGATAAAGGCGTCTTCTACATATGCAGCCTAATAAAATGTTACAATAATGATGATGATGGTTATTATTATTATTATTATTATTTGCAGACACGGAGTTTTTGTGAAATGGACGTTTTGCTTATTTTCAATTGGCAATTTCAGTTTGAAGGGTGATGGAAATGCCTACCCTATCTCACGACCAATTCGTACGAATTCGTACGAATGATTCAAAAGTGGCTAATTCGTACTAATTCATACGACCTCACTCGTACAAATTTGTACGATTTGTCTAAACCCACGTGACGGTTATGTTTAGGGGCGGGGTCAGGGGTAGGTCATTCGTACGAATTCATACGAATTTGCTAATTCGTAAAATATGTACGAATTAGCTAAATCGTACTAATTCGTACGAGTGAGGTCGTACAAATTGTTACGAATTAGCCACCTCGTAAAATTCGTACGAATTCCCGTGAGATCGGGTTGGAATTGCGGCTTTAACTGCTCCGTACTTGTTGCGTTTTATTTCTATAAATTAATTTCGTTTCAAATGGGGTCCAATCAGTTATTAAAGGTGTTAAAAAATCTGTATCTCGAGGTTGCGGCGCGCACACTATGCACCGAGTATTAACCGATGGGCCTCGGTTAACGATTAATGAATAACTTGAAAACGTGCCCGCAGCCCTACTTGTTATATCGCGCAAAAAATCGCTGCTTGAAATGGAGAATCGCCTGTACTGGTCTCGGGACACTATTGCAGCCACTATGGCAGTTAAGTTAATATACATGCTATCTTCCTAATTTAAAAAATAAATTAATTCATAATACCCGCTGAAATGGGTTGGGTTTTATGACGTTTGATCCTGAAAGGCGTGTTAGGGGTGGGGTCTGGGGCAGCGCTGTGGGGCTACTGGCCCGGCAGTGGAAACGCAAGCCCGGTGCTTGAGGCCCGAGGCCACTAGCTCGCTGTTAGCTCTGGCCCAGCCCTAGCCCGGCAGTGGAAACGCGGCTAATGAGGTTCATTCTTGTTAAGCAGCACGTTTGAGCTTCCACAAGAACCAATGAGGTTGATTTCTAGGGATGTCCCGATCCGATCCACACCATCGGTATCGTGCCGATACTGGCCCAGAACCCTAGATTGGAGGGGAGAAAAAAATCTGATCCAATACCTATCCAACAATGCTTGAATATACCATTTCCCTTGATGCGACATCCAGTTAAGTGCCACAGTCTGCAGATTGGGCGGTTTTGCAATCTATTTTGCGTGCAAAAAGTGGGTTTGGGCAGGTGGATAAAAATTGGGGTGGTTTCGGATCAGTTCAGCGGGTTTTTGTAGCACTTCAGATCCTTCTTTCGGCGAACCTCTGTTAGGGAAGGCAGTCTCACTCACTCACACAAACTCTCAACAGACACTCAATCCCACTACCTTCAGTGTACCATAAACACGGTTTTGCAATCTGTCTCCTCAGGTTATAAACCGTAGGCTACACAAAATTTTGATGCATATCCAAGGAAGGGTTTGTGCAGAATGTGGAGCGCGCACTGCATGGCACGGAGCGCGGGCGCGAACACTTCCGTTTTCCTTTCAACAGTGGAAACAACTTAAAATACTTTATCATTTCTGGTCATACAGAAAATAACCTATTTATATATAACTTTTTTTTTTGTGTGCAAATTAAAATGTTGGTGTTCAACTTTACGTTTTAAAAATACAACCATTAATTTTTCGTTTTACGGGTTAAAAAGGACAAACAAATGGACGCAAAAGTAAACTGATCAATGGGTAATTTTAAAGCTTTTTTTAATTGTTGCAAATTGCGGTCTTTCATAATCAACTGTTGTTGTGGACTAGCTATATACTGGAGAAGTATTTATTCTCCATTTGAGTGAGATGTTTTTAGGTTGCTAATTGAAGAAGTGCTTCCATATATTTAATTAGGCCTAGGATTAGTTCAAGAATAAAATAAAAATATCGGTATCGCAAATAGCCAAAGCTGCGGCATCGGTATCGGAAGTGAAAAAGTGGTATCGGGACATCCCTGTTGATTTCTTGTGTGACGCAGAAAATTTGAGCTTCTGCAAGAACCAATGAGTTTCCGCAATGAAACCAAATATTAAGAAATGTATTTAAAGAATTTGATTATGACTACATATCTTTCTAGTTATGCCAAGCTCTAAAATATTTTATCAGGTAGAAATTTGAGTGAGTGAGGGACGGTCTTCAAATATTGTGAACTGTGAACATATTTACATACTTCAATATACACAAAATGGCAAAACCAGAAGAGCCTTTATTCCAATCTGGAAGCTACATTCTACATTTAATCAGTAAAGTACTTAAGGTTGCACTGTATTGTGAAAATAGGGTTGTATTTAAAGGATATTGCTTTTATTAAACAAAAATTCTATCATAATTTACTCACCCAGATATCATTCCAAGTCCATAAGATTTAATAAAGCCTGAGAGGTTTCTGTTCCTCCATTTAAAGTCCTGATAACCACAAGTTAAAAGATCCAAAAAGGTTATAAAGGCTCGTAAAAACAAATCCATATGAATCGAGCGGTTTAATCCAGGACTTATGATGAGATTTGATTTCTTGATATGATGAACCGATTTAATATAGTTTTTCATTTACATCTGAAGGATTATCGACACGTGTACATAGAGCACATGGTAAACGTAGAAGCTCAAACGTATGTGTGTGCTCTTGATACACAAATTTTTCGTATCTACCATATGCTATTTTGATGTTTGTCGATCATCATGTTCTAAATTAAACCACTCGATTTACATCGATTCAATTTATGATGCCTTTATAACCTTGATAGTTACCTGGACAAATGAATATATCTTCATTTGTGTTTTGTAGATAACCAAAGTGTTATTGGTTTGGAAAGACATGAGTGTGTGTAAATAACAGATTTTTGGGTGAACTGTCCCTTTAAGCAAATTCATTAAGTGGCATTTTTCCGCTTGGAGACGTAGTCACTGATATATAGGGATCTAAACTACAAAATGATCTGCTAATTACTTGCGTCAAGCCTCTTCTCATTTGTGTTTGTCACAGCCAATGGTGTGAACGGATCTGTTGGTGCCAGTGGAGCAGATTCTCCCAGAGCGAGGAAGGAGAAGTCATCATAAACCACCCACATTCCCAGATTCTGTACTGGATGAAATCAGCCTGATCATTCCTCTCCCTCCTTTTCGCTCCACAGTTTGTCTGTTGCCCATTTCCCCTCTTATTTATCTGAAAAAACTCTGCAATATGGCAACTTCCTTATCCTGCTCTTTGATCCTGTAGGATGTTGAATGCTGTATTTCACAAAGCCATCAAACCAGTATGTCTCTTTGCAAGAAGGGCTTATGGGAAAAATGTGGCTTTTTTTTTTCTTTTATTTCGCCTACATTTGTTTCTTTTTTCCAAAGGTCCCTACGCTCTCTGCTTTATTTGCTTTATCCAAAACTATGATCCAGCCATACCTACAAATAAAAGCTGTGGGGAAAAAAGTAATTTATTTTTATTTTTACAAGTGCCTATCCATACATCATTTTGACAAATCAGAGATGGTTAATCCAGTATTTTAACTTTGTTTGAAATCAGGGTTGTATTTAAAGTTTTCTGAAGCCTCACAGCTTTTTTTCTGATTCTATCCTATGCATTTGGAACCATGTCTAATGTCTCTTCATTATGTTGTTGTATAAAAGCATTGTCACACTTTTTTTTTTCTTGTTCAAACATTCATTTGATGCCTTTTTTAAACAAATATGGATTCCATTTGTTGCACTGGTCAAGCTAATAGTGTAATGCTTCACAAATGTTGTTTATTTAGCAAAGGAACATGTCCCTGCAATGTGCTTTAGATTCTACCTTTTTAATCTTGAACTTTGCACCGCTGACTTTGCTGTCTGGTGTAGATGACACATGCAAATGTCAAATCACTAGTGTCATTCCATGAGAATGTGAGCATGTGGTCAAAATCTTAAGGAAAAGTTCTCAGACATATTTTTCATAGCAGATAGTTTCAGTTTAAGAACAACAATACTCTGAGAAAGAAGTTAGGAACAATCATTCTCACCTTTCTTTTACCCAAGTACAACAAATTAGAAAGACAACCAGTGAATACATTAATAAAAATGTTGTTTTCATGGTTATTTGCCCTTATTTTACTGTATTTGTCAAAACATGACTTGCTATTTCTGCATTTGTTTATTGCATTGTACTCTGTAAAAAGTGATCAGTTGACTTAACTTGCCAATGCAGTTTATTTAATTAATTTTAAGGCAACGGGTTTCCTAATATTTTTTTTAACACTTGTCAACTTTTTACAGTGTAGAAAATTATGGTGAAGACATTTTAAAAATTACAGAGCTTAAAACCCCCCAAAACAAAGTAATTCTCAAAACTACGAGTCCAAGTTGGTCTGAAAGCGCTAAATAGAACAGGAGTCACGTTCTCCTGAACGAGTTACCATAGCAACAATTCGTTGCTCGAGCCTAACTGGCATAGAATATAATATCATATTAATATAAAAGTAATTTAATTATTTGCCTCTCACTAAGCAATTCTCCAAAGAAATATGTGAGAAAAAAAAAACACAATGAAGTGCATTTTATATTATTTTAAGAGGTCATTCTCCTTAAAATGTCGGCGTTGACCATGTTGTGGCGCTGTTCGCCACGATTTTTCTTAACAGACAACAGTGATATAAAATGTTTCTTTCAAATCACTCTGCGCGTATGTTGGAGATGTTTTCCTAAAGCAAATGTATATAATATTAAATTAAACATAATAAAAAAATAGTTATAAATGCTTTTCTAAACTGAACTCTTTTTGGACATTTTGTTGCGACAAACCTGTTTCACAATTGTTGGCAAGCGCGTGCCAATCTGAAACAGTGAACAGCAGAATTGCATAAGTCACTGTTTGCAGATTTCCCTTTGAGAGAAGTTACTTTCGATGTAGACCTTTGATCGACACGCGTTGGAACGCTGGATTCATTCCGATTCGTCGATGCTTGATCTCGGTCGCCTGCGTACATTCACATGGAAGTATTTTTATGGGCTATAGGAAATCAACCTGTCGCCGTGTGGGTTTTGATCGGATACCTGACGCATTTCGGGGTTATTGTTGCTGACTAATCACGGTAAGCTTTGGCTTTCTGCCAGATCAAACAGTCCATGAGCCTGTTGCCTTTTTGAGGTGCGCATATAGGCTATGGCAGAAAAGTAAAAATGTGTGTGAATTTGACAACTCATTATAGTTATGAGTCATGGTGGACTAAGCTGTTACATTATGGCAGAGACGAAAAAACTAATTCGGGCTTGTTCTCATTTTCTTTCACAGATGGCCAAAATGTTTCTTTAAAAGATAGCTAAATGTGTATTCATGTCTTGACTTAAATATTACAATGGGCTGCTTGGGAAATTCATATCACATAAAAGCATATAGCCTATTGCTTTTAATATTTTATTTCTAGGCTATAATGTCATTTAAAATACCAATCTGTATAACGTGGCAAATACAACCATAATATTTTGAACTTGGACCTGCCTTGAGACTTGCAAAACACTTCACAATAATGTTAATTAGTTAACTTGACATGAACTAACAATGAACAATACTAGCTACTACATATTAATCTCAGTTAATGTTAATTTTAACATTTAGTGATACATTATTAAAATCAAACGTTGTGTTGACGTTAGTTAATGCACAGCAATGAACGAATGTATGTTTAAAGATTAGCCTAATAAAACCTGTAACAAATTTCTCATTGTGGATGTGTAAAATGTTCCAAAATAGGCTACTAATGATGGATAACATAGGATTTAAATGTGCTATTCTCCAATCAAAACTCTCCTGAACTTTTTCTCTTGCTGTTGAATAGGCACAGCCAGTCTAATAACACAGTATATGGCAGTTTTGTTTGGTTAAAAGTGTTAATTTGATAAGAAAATGTAGATTAAATGCATTCTAAAAGCCTTAAAGTAAATCATAACAAGTGGGATGTGATGTATGGAGGTCTGGAAAGCAGTTTGATTCGGTTCTGCTAATGTGTTTTTTAATTAAGATGTTATGACATTGCTTATATAGTGCAGATTGCTTTGAATTCGTACTAACAACAACACCACCGGCTCGTGACCTGACCACTCTGGCACACTTTTTTCTCTCTCTCTTTCACACAGTAGTATCACTAAAGGTGAAATCTTTTGTAAACTGTTTTCAGAGCTGCTTTGATTTCCTCCTCAAATATTATGAAACATCTACTTGCAGTTTGGGATAGCCTACACAAAGGCACGAAAAATGCGATCCAACTGGTGAGCCGCGTCATTATGTTTGCTGTATCATCATTTTGCACCGTTGTTCACTGCAAGGTTGCTATGCAGGCTAGAGTAAACGAGTAGATACTGGTGCCCGTAGTATGTGGGGGAGGTTTTGCTGGCGAGATAAACAAGCAGCCAGCCATCGTTAGGCATAAGGCAGCAGGAACATGGCGGCGGCAGTTAACTATAATGCTGTTTCACCAACCCGAAGGTCAGATCTGGACATTACATACGGGATTTAAGAGGAAACAAAACACTGTAAGTCCGACATGTTTGCAAATGTCCTATGTTTGCCGGTGAATGGCGGTTTGGGGTGGCTTTGTAACGCGATTTTTACTCAGTCGCTGCAGGATCCAATCACAGTTCCGCGGCGGCGGTATCCTGCATTAGCTTGCTAAACCAGCTACACTCGCTATATCAGCCTGGCCACTTTGCAGAGTTAGAGAGTTGTGTTTTTGCTTTTTTTCGTTGTGTAAACAAATCGCTTTGAGCGACCTTGAAGCGGATGCACGGCTGTTGTTGTTTTAACATTTCAATTGTGTCGCTGATTTACTTGATTCGCCCGCGCTGCTTGCATTTTCGCGATTAAGTTTAGCCAGCTCCCCCCTCTTATTTGCCAGGCTAGCTTTAGCCTTCGAGCCTCCATTTGACTATGCGAGGAAGGCAAATCCATCCGTGGAACACTATTCGGGAGGATTTTAACTTTAGCGGGCAGAACTGTTACATTGTAACGTGGTGATGGGGGGTTCCGTTGGAATGCTTGTGTAACATAGTAGCGAGTTGGACGTAACGTTAACAGTTCAAAAGCGAACAATGTGTCGTTCGCGGAAAGTAAAAGCGCGTTGTTATTTGACAGTCACCGCGTTTCGTTTCTGCGAGGGCTGAGATTAGTGAGTCAGCTCTTTGCTGAACTACTGCACACCATGGTTCGGTTTTCAGGTCTCAGGTCTCGTCTGTTTAAAGAAAGGAAAAGTTGGGGCGCCAATGGTTGGGAACGCTGCTAATTAGCATTTACCTCGTGATTTGCCTGAACTCCGCTATTTTCACCAGAGCTTATATGTGGAGCAGAGGCTGCTTATGTCGCCCAGCGCTCGAGCAGGTTTTTAGTTTGGTCGACATAGAGTTCGTAGCCACCGTGACGATGGGTTACGCTGTGTGACGTCACGCCACCGGGCAGTTTATTGGGTCAAACAAAATGATGAACCACCCATTCAAGACCAAATGGGAACCCGGGTATCGGTCGTTTTTAAAATGACGAGTAGCGACTTAAATGCTAAGGTGCATCTAGGTCATGTTTAGATGCACCTTAGCATTTCAGTCCTAACTCGTTACAAATCCCTTTAACGTAGAGATAGCTTGCTTGCTTCTTCTCCCCATTCGGTCCTGAGTATTTGGTTAATCATTGTTTGTTCGCATACATCCTCTTATTGTTTGTGAATTTTCTCTTTTGCAAACACTGGGCACAGTCTTAAAGGGATAACTCACTTAAAATGAAAATTCTGTCGTCAATTAGGCTACTCACCCTTAATTTGTTCCAAACCTGTATGAGTTTCTTATGCTGAACACAAAATAATATATATTGAAGAATATGGGTTACCGGACAAGCCTTATATGGTAGAAGAAAGAAAAAAAAATACTATGGAAGTCAATGGGGCCCACCTATTGTCTGGCTATGAACATTGTTCAAACTACCATATTTTGTGTTCAGTTTGAAACAAATTGAGGGTGAGTAAATGACAGAACTTTAATTTCTGTGTGAACCTTTTAATTCACTCAAATTTGGTTATTACAGTGGTAGTTGTTGATTGATTCTGATTTGGATTCCATTCCATTTTAAGGATTCCAGTTCATTAATAGTTCCATTAAAAATTATGTGGAAATACCACTTTTACCATCCTCAGATTTGATATTTAATATTCTATCAAAATGTGTATACAATTTTTTAAATTATATTCCATACTTTTTAGAAATGACAAATCATTACTTGACTTGAACCTAACTAAATATTGAATAAAATGGCAAATCAAAATGTTGAATACAATGTTTGTTAGGACTAACTAGTACAACAAATCAGGATTTTGTCACACATGACATATAACTTGTGATACAGTGAAATATTTTACTTGCTGAATCGCACTCACTAGAGAACTGGTCCATAATAGGGATTCATTTGAGAATCTGTTTTGCGGTGTTTATTGTGATACAGTGTTGCATTGCCACTGACAAGTTCTGTTAGCTGAAGTGTTTTCTTTGAACCCGTTTCTGTGTAAGAACAGGTTCTCAGTTCTCAAGCTTATTGGGTTTACTCCATTGGTGGTTTATAAGAAATGATTTGCTTGAATGCCCAAGCTTGGAGTGTGTAAACTGACAGCTGGTGTTCACCTCAGATTTGCATCACTGCTGCTAAGAGCTGCAGTAGTGCAACTCAGCCTGTTGGACCAGTAGCTCAATTCATGCTAGCTTTGTTACCAACCTCTTACATCATGCTGACACATTCCACAGTAGGGCTCGTGTGGTGAGTAAATGCACCCACAGCCGAAAATAAGAGTAATATGGCAATTACTTTAATTGATTCATTTTGAGAACAATGCAGAGAATTGTATTAGTGTTTATGGTGTGTACTGGTCAAGCAGGCTACCAGTGTTGTTAGTGTTAAATAAAGCTAAAAAACAATGAATAGTTTTTATAAAGGACATGATATAAAGGACATGCAAAGATAGACTTATTTATATTTATATATTTATTTATATTTATATAAGACCGATTTATATATAAGACCGATTAAATATAAATATATTTATATTTCTCTCTCTCTCTCTCTCTCTCTC